ACATCGATTACTCCCAACTCTGCCAATAGCCCTCTGAATTTTTTACTAATTGTGGACTTCTGTATCCCACCGGCCGAACAGTCGGGTTGTGGGTTTATTCTGAGATTTAGGTCTCCTCCTCAAATCAAAATGCCTTCCCCCTCTGATGTCATCAAATCAAACATTTGCCCGAAAATATCTAGTCTGATTCTGGGGGTGCCAGTTCTCCCTCTAACCTCCCCTTTTTTCTGGGTTGCCATATTCGCTGATTTTCCGTCTCCTCTGTCCAATGTTTACCCCTTATGCTACAAAATTGGCAAACTGTCCTAAAGATACAAAAGCAAACCTAATCACTAATATGAGTGTTATTATTATTTTAAAGTATTATTATAGCTGCGGTTACTGTCCCCCATCGTTGCTGTTGTCATGTTCATCATCATCAGTCACTACTATTAGTGTAGTTGTTGCTACTGTTGTTGCTGTGCACCTGTCTGTCTATCTATCTGTCTGTCTCTCTCTCTCTCTCTCTGTCTCTCTCTCTCTCTTTCACCCCAAATGGACGAGACAGACGACCACCCACCTAGAGCCGAAGGATCTGTTCTAGGTTTCTGCCTTTTAACAGGCAGTTTTTCCTTGCCCTTGTCGCCAAGTGCTTGCTCATGGTGGTACTGTTGGGTCTCTGTAAATAATGTTATAAAGAGTTCGGTCTACACCTGCTCTATTTGGAAAGTGTCCTGAGATAACTTCTGTTATGAATTGGCGCTATACAAATAAAATTTAATTGAATTGAATTGAATTGATGAACTAGTGATTAACCAGAAAACTTCCTTGCATGGGGTTTGCGTTTCGACCCTATCTGAGTCCTGATGACAGGTCCGCTCTGAGGGGTGTCCCCTTCCTACTAGGGGAAGTGGGCCCTCTGTGCTGAGGTCAGCTTTGTCCATGTGACCAACAGCTCCAAGAAAAAAACAAAAGGAAATAAACTAAAGAGCTACAGCAAAACAAAAGCCTCCCCGACTTTTGATAAAATATGTAGAGGAAATTGCACTTTTAAAATGAGCATAATTAAGTAACCCAACACAACTTAAATGAATAGATGTCCATTTCTTACCTTAATCATGTGCAGAACATAATCCAAGTACACAGAAACTATTCAAACCTTGTCCTTAAATCCGAAGTCCATCTGACTTTGTCCTAGTCCCTCCTAAAGGTTTGCAGTGTTTGTTTAAATCTGGGTTCTGTCTCTTTGGATGATTAATCCTTTTTAGCTCGGCTGGCCTGCCAGGTTAGGCGCCTGATCCTCTCTAGTCCACTCTCCATGGGTTTCACCATCGTCCCCCGAAACCCTTTCCTGTCCATGTCCTTAGTCGCCTCTTCAGCCGGGTTGTGAGTGCTGATTTCTCCCTTGTAAAACACTTGTAGTTTTTAGTGTAGTCATGGTCCAGAAACACCTTCTTCTCCTCGTACACAAAGCCTCTTTTCTGCCATGCTATCTTTATTATCTCTTCTTTGCTTCTAAAACTCATGAATCTTACCACAATAGATG